TGTATATATATATATATTTTTTTTTTTAAATATTTCTTGTTTATTATAGTGTTAGTTACGTTATCAGTACTTGATTATACCGACGTTTATTTGTGATGGTTATACGTTCCTGAATTTCAGATTAATTGGATCTTGAATAAATAAAGAAATCACTATTTTCTCCTATAATCAAACAAAATTCTGGTTATTGAATATTGGAAATAATTATTAGATTTTAATTGATATTCTAATTATGTTACCTGGAATTCTTTTTATGCGTAAAACTTATAGATGATTAAAGACTCGTTCGTGTCTTATCTAATACTGATAGGTAAACAGCGGATATTTATGCATCTAAAATATGGAAAAAACATGCAAGTAAAACAGGGGACCGTAGTATATGAACATGTGCACGGGTATACCGACATATGCAAGAAACGTGTGGAAGATACAATAATAGAATTTTTATCTATAATTTTTTTTATATTAACTACAGTTTACTAAGAATTGTTCTATCTAGGTTTATTTTCTTATTAATTTCAATAATTATCACTCAGTAATAAATATATTCAAAACATATAAATACCTCTGTATTTATAACCTTTTAAAGATCAAATTAATTTCCATTCACGCCCCGCTTTATTACTAGATTTAATAATTCCCGTTTAATAATAGAGGAAATTTCTACTTAAATCTCACTTTAACGTCAATTTTAACAAGTTCCATTTTACCATTAAAAATATGAAAAATAAAGAGTAGATACATAGAACCCTTTAAAGCTTGAATATTCTTCTAGTATTAATTCTGCATAAAAGCATGCATTTGTACATATAATGCATTATACAATCCGCCGTCTATAAATAACGCGAGTAAACACAATGTCTCCTTGCAAATCGCTCGATATAATCGCAGAAACATCTCCACTCGGTTGAGACAATTCAAAGTGCTCTTTATTTCATGGAAAATACCTTTGAACTCGCTGTATTCATTAAAGATCGACTCCTCCTCGCGAACGTCCGTTCTCGATCAGCGCAATTTTGTGACTAACTTCACGGCAGTCGACGTGAGAATTGCAACCACGAGTAGCGAAAAAACACTGTTAAACACTCCGTCGTTTGGACGGTACTAAGGCCGCTAGTGGCGGACTCTATTTATAGTTGGCGCAACGCATCAAGAAATCTAACGTAATGTGATAACTGTCGCACACGCAACGAAAATTCTAATGACAATCCATTTCAATCGGTTTGGCGCGCGGAAAAACGGCGGGAAAAGAGGTTAGAAATATCTAGACACTTTTTGGAATGTGATTAAGCTCTTCGATACACGAATAATTTATTTTCAAGATAACAGTGTTCGATGAATTTACAGTGGAAATATACGCTTGGAAATATTCGTACGATTCTCCTGTGCAATGCTCGGTGGAGTGTAATTGACAAACTCCCTTGAAAACTTGAAATATGAAAATAATTCAGTTTCAGTCAAGATGACATTGGGAATATTGGAAAAGGTGATTTTCATTTTGAATAATTTTTCAGTCGGATATTCATTTCTATAATTCTCTACGATGTTTTGTTTCGTAATATTTTACGAGAATCATTCAAATTCCCTTTATCCATATAACCTATAACCTTTTATGTATAACCTATAATTGTAGTAACAGCGATTAATGGTTAATAATAGTAAATATGGGAAATATTAAATATAGAAGAGCAGGTAAATATTGAATACAATAAATATACCAAATATTAAATATGACTGTATCGACATATAAAGTTTATGTAATGTATTTATAATAATATTCTACAATAATGTTCTTTTTGTCATTAAAGGTAAACGTATATCTGCATCTTCATTATACCCAGAGGAAAAGATAGATTTCATTGGAGAATTTAGAGCGTCTATCATTAAGAATAAAATAAAGGAAACCGTCTACAGTTGAACGGACGAAGCGAAGCGGAAGAAAATAGTAGGAAATCGTTTCGTTTCTATGCACCTCATTGACTAAACGTGCAAAAAGTGACTTACTGACTTCCTTTCCGCGGCGGTTCTCTAATTATTAGGACATTTGACCGAGAGAAAGTGCCGGTACAACAGTATTACGACACTTTTTATTAGTATACCTTGTTTTCTGTTTATTATTCGATTCGCAATCTGCCGATAAAGAATTCTTTTTCGCGAGGTCAGTTTTATTTTCTCTTCATCCGCTGTATGTTAATTGAGCTGAATTTAATTCGAATTTCGAGGGCACCGAATGAACCGAGTCATCATGGCACTACCTGTCCCAGGCTGTTTCTCCTTTTACCTTGACATTTGGGGTAGTTTCTTAGTTACGAGGGAGCTTTTAACGAAGGGGAAACATCGTGTTATTTACTTATTCCTTAGCATTTGAGGTTCACGACTTCCAGCCGCATCAAGACGAGAGTGAAGACATTATACTGTTTAATTAGATTCGTTCTCGGGTTTCCTTAACTCTTGGGGTCAGTTTCTTGCCTTCAACGACACTCTAACGAAGCGAACATGCCATATCACCTTCGCAAACTTATTACGTATTTGAAGCTTGCAAAAATTTGCTTATTGTAGCAACTGTAACATGAGAGTATTTAACTAATGAAATATATTAAAACTAGAATTATCTTTTTCATGTAAAATTCAAAGACAAGTTTTAATAGTTAATTCTAGTAATAATTTTACTGTTTAAATAGACCAGAATAAAAATTATCTTCTTTATTTAAAATTCAGAGTCAAGTTCTAATATCTAATTTCTCACATATCAGGAATAGAGTAGGATTATCGAAAGATAATGATTAATAGATAAAATTAATAGATTTTAACGAAAATAAAATGGTAATAATGATTTTTAACGATATTTTTTCGATATGTAAGTCGATGAAATGATATTACGGTCTTGATAAAGGATTAACCTCGTAGATTTCTATTGTAAACAGTAAACATTGGTGTATGTAAAGCGTGGTTAATTAGCATCTATATGTAAATTTGCAGAGGTAGCGAGGTGGTTCCGCCAAGTTGTCGCATTGTCACTGACGAAAATGCGGAAATCCTTACGATATTATTGTTGGTAATTTTCCAATTGATCAGTTACCTATCTTTTCTAGTCAGTCAATTTCGCAATTACGCAATCGCGGTCACACAACTGACTACACGATTGAGTGGCGATCGCGTTGCACAGATCCGCACGACGATAAACACGATTTCAATCGAGATTTCGAAAGCTTTGCCTTTGATGTTCTAAAAAGCCTGAGGATTCGATAATATGTTAAAAAACACTCGAACATCTCAGTTTGATAAGGAACTATAAAAGTTTTGTGAAGTGATCTATTCAAAAGATTTAAGTACTCGATGGTATTAAATCGGTTCTTAGAAATCTTTATACTGAATTCTGGAATTCAGAATATGGCTATATTCGTCCAACAAATTTTAATGATATCTGTGAAACGATCAAAATTTGAGTTTTATTAAATATCGAAAAATTGAAACCATCGAAACTTAAATAAAATTGAACTCGACTCAAAATTACGATCATAATCAACAGCTACAACTGGCATTATCTAAATTTCTGAAGCTATCCCAACCCCTTGGAATTCTGGAGAAACCTAAAAATATTTAAACAAATTTTCAGCAGCAGACGAGAAACACGAAAGAGAAGACAACGAAACACACTGAACACTGCGATACGTAACAAGCTCGAAGCTTGACCTGATTCCCAATTTGCCGATCGACGCGAGACCTAATCGAGCCACGTTTGGATGAAAGAACGAGTTCTCCAATATCGAATGGGTATCACTGACAGACCCGAGAATAACCAGTTAGAAACGTGTGTAATACCATCGAAATACCTGTTGCAGCGTCGAAAGTGTCGGCCGATAATCGCAGAAGCAGCTGAATGCAGCCGGCTGGTACAGCGAAGTCGTGACAACTGAGCCGAGCTTCGTTACCGTTTGACTTTGACCCCTATTCTCCCTCTTTTCGGCGCTCATTGATGGTATCCCCATCTTTCAGCTTCGCTAAGGATTAAACGCGAATGACACGCTTTAGAGGAAGCGTGTGTTTACACGATGCAGCGGCGGAACACGAGAGGATCATGGTCTGAGAACGCCCTCTAGCTAGCTCTGGCAATCGTTGTTTGACGTCAGGTTTCGCAGAGGCACCTTAAGTCGTGGGATTTCGGCCGTCTCTCTGACGCTTAAATACCTTGGATGGTTAATGAATGTCGCTAGGTGTTAGCTTTTCATACGTTCTAGGTTCTAGTTAGGAAGTTTGTTAAGCCACGACGCCACGTTTACAAATTAAGCGCGCTTTTGCTCCTGGCTAACTTTCGAGCTGTTCCCTTGTTAGAGAACGCTATTTCAAAGGTATAGACGCGTTTGAATCATGGTTAAAAAAAGGCTTTTACATGGTTTTCTGTAGTCTTACATATACATACCTTTTTCTTTTATAATTTTATATATGCACATTCTAAAAATCAGGCTTTGCAGAGATCTGAAATCAATAAATAAGGTCTTCACAATTTTTTCGTTTTTTTAAACGGGAATTCACAGGAAGAAATTTTTAGGGATATTTAAAAATGAAATATTTTTTGCTTAAAAGATAATTCTCTATCTTATATAATAACAAAGTCATATTTAAAAAGACAAAAATTAATGAAACCTTCAACGTCAGTATTATCTTTTTAACATGATATTCTACTAAACGAATAATTGCCTCATACATAACTTATTGTACTATACAGAGACACGAAGTATAAGCGAAAGTAAAACATTTTTTATTTCTCCATTCTTTAACTTTTAAAAAAGGTTTCTTTATTTTTATGAGAATTTCGAATGTATATCGTGTATAATTTATTGTATATGTACGGCTTATTTGATTTGCATGATATTTAATTCAGCAGGGTAAATCAACACTCGAAGTTTTAATGTGCCTTTTGTGCTTTTACGTATAACTCTGTTTTTCTATAAAAAATATTTAATTTTTGTTCATGTGTATATATATCTTTTTTTTTGTAGAACACAGCCGCGTACAATGTGAAGGAGCAAAACGAGAGGCTGACTGATATCGAGGACATGGATTCTCCGGGTATGGGGATCAACGCCAGAACGGTCCCGCCATTGTGTTACGGAAGAAACATGACATTCCCGCGGCCAGCCTCTTCTTGTACCCACAGACACGAGCTTCCAGCTATAGTCACCGAGGGTGAAAGCTGTAGACTCCTCGCGGAGGTAATGAATATCATTAACTGGACAACTTCCTTTAAGTAGAACAGTTCACTAAAAATTACTCCCTGCACTTGGTTATTTCGCCCAGTAATTGCTACCCCGAAAGAAATATTAAAATATAAAATAATAATTATTAATACGAATGACAAGAATGGAAAAATTTCCTTAACGAGTTGCGAATAATTCATTAAAGCGCGAAGCAGAAAAATATTTACTCCAAGAATGATTCATAAACTCCATTGTCTCATTCATAGACTCTATTGTTTGAATGATTCATGGACTCTATTGTTTCATTTATTAAGCTGACATTTTTAACGAAAAATAAGAAAGAATTCGCAAGCAATAAATCAATCTTCACCTTTTCATTTTATTTCAGCAACAAGAGAACAATTCCTGTAGCGATGGACAACTGTCGGGCGTGATGCCAGATGTAGCGATGGCGACAGCCTCCTTTGGAGCTCTGCAGTTGATAGAAGAGCAGGAACTGGAGCTGGACCTAGGTGATGGAACTTCACACCTCCTGCAGCACGTATCACCATCGAATGGAACGATGGGCTCATCACACAGGTCATCGCTCCCTCATCCCCATCAGAGGCACTACAATGGTCCGCCTCCTCCACCGTACATGTACCACCGAGCTGGCACTGCCTTACCAAGATTTATTTAAGATTTCTACAAGATAAGAAGGACTGTATGGCAACTATAACACCCTTCATTGGGGCGTTCATTTCATGAACGAAATCGGAATCACTAGGTGTACTCTTCATGTACTGCCAAGTTTCTTTTCTCAGCAGTTAGTTTAGCAAAAAAATCCCTTTGTTGGTCTCGCGACGATCCTAATGAGATTCGATGAGCTTAAGAGGCAGGATATTTTGATTAAGTGTCGCAATTTTCCGTGACTGTACAGTTTGTTCCTGAGGAAGTAATTGCGGACACGTGTCTTTCGTGGACCATCCTGTACAGTCGCTAAAAATACGCATCAACATAGAATATTCTAAAGCAGTTTGTCGAAATTTCATTTACGATTGTCGATACCAATCTCGGGATCTTTTTGCCAGCTAGAAACTTTCATATAAATCCTAGAAGTATTTTATACTTCAGCCAATTCGAGCTGACGCGTTTCCTGTGCGGAGTGTTTGTTTTGATTACTTTGTAAAAGAACGCCTAAAAGGTGGACACCTTGCGCAGGCCACGCGTCAGATATTTGTACGAAATTATTCTCACAGACAACGATTGACTCGTTGCAATTAATTGGTAGAACTTCTGCCGAGGATTCTGTGATACACGAAGACGTACTTCTTGTGGTTCTTGTCGTGGCAAAGATTACGCGCAGCGTGTCGATGAAACTTCGTTCTTGCGGGTACAAATTTACTGATACGACGAAGAAACAATTATACGTACTGGTTTATTTAAGCGCAGCTTAACGAACGTAGAGGACCCCTTGGTTTTCAGGATATACATACATATACATATAAATATATATATATAAAAAAATATATATATATTTATAATTGTAAGCCGGATTTGGAAGATAATTCGATTGTGGAAAGTTCATGCTTGTTAGGTACAATCATGTAATAATAAATGTAACTTCTAGGTGCAGACGCGTGTGAGATGCAGATGCAGCTGTGGTTCATATGCACATATACATACGGACACGTATATATGTATATATATATGCGTGATACAAATTGCGTGTGATTGTGTATGTAGGTACACGAATGCGCGAGCTCTCTAAGTACCATATAAAGTGTTAATTAGACGATTATGTCGCCGATGTTGCGAGAGTGAATGAGTGTGGGATAGGACGACAGAACGAGTGAGAGAGGAGAGAATGGGCCTGAGAGAACGAGTGAGCAAGAGGACTAAAAAATGAGGAACTAGAAGGGAGAACGAGAGGAACAGAGTACATGTGTTACTGCAGAAGAGTGGAAGAGAAAGAGAGTGAAGGCCACACGGAACGTGCAGGTATATATGATCAGTGTTTATGAACAGTCATTGTTCTTTATTTAAAAGGAGACGCCGCTGTGGGTATGATCTTTGCTAATTCATATTACCTATGATATTCAATAAAAATTATTTAAATATTAGTAGATGCACTTTATCTTCGAGCAGCGTATCGTTAAATTATTATTTTTTACGTTCAGTCGGGGGTAGCCGGGTGACATTTTGCGTTCATAGAGGCGCGCAGGTCTCTGTACATTTTTCGTCGATTTTTGGCGTTGTTAATCGTTGCAAAAGTAAAAATTTTGTACTCTTCGCTCGCTGTAGAATATTTCGAACATATCGTGTTTAGGTAATAACCGAGTAACGTCGGCCCTTGTTTTCTTACAACGATAATTTAATAGTAATCTTTATTTTTTCTTCTCATTTTTTTTTTTCTCTCACGAACACAGGTGAAATAAAAGTATGTTCATCAAGGAAAAACCTGCGCCTCCGTCATTTTACATAACTGTTCGAGCAGATCGAGCCGGAGTTCTAAATTTTTTTCCCCGCTAAAATCCAAGCTGAGAATACAGCATCGAGGACGTGCAATGGCGAGGCAGCCTTTCACAATACTGCAAGAAAATTGTTTCTTTCTTGTTAAATCGTCGAGGCTTGTTACATAAGATCGACACGGATTTACTCGAGGTAGAAGTTAACTTTATTCCCTACGAGAATCGTACGAGATTGATTTGGGGCTCCCAAGTCATTGCTGACGTCCATTTTATTTGCTGGTGGATGCGTAGCCCCGTAGCTAGATTCCATCGTACGTAACGATTTTGTTTACACCGTTGTTATTTCGTCTTTTTACCTATTTTCATTCCGTAGCGAAGACTTTAAGCTTTGTATATGGTATTTTAATTTATAAATTATAAACCCATTTTCGAAACACCTGGCGTTCTTTAATCGTCGTATAGAAGCCAATCTCACTTGCAGTTTCGTTGCAACGTGACGCGACTGTACACCATTTTGTTTCACGCTATTCTGCCTTTACAGTCCTCGAATATTTTCCTTACGAACTTACTTTCCGTCCCATTATATCCCAAAGACGTTTGTCAAATACGCAACGATAGTCTTTAGCGCGTAACGTGAAAAACTGGCTACATATCAATCTCATCACAGTTTCAATGGCTGCGAATAAGTTTCTTGCCATATCCTTTTTTCTTCTTTTGCTTTTCTTCATCTAGGACTCGATACGGCACGACGGCGCATCGTAAATAGAACAGGCAGCTCTAAAAGGCAAATTTCAATTTGCGTAACTCGCGTCGGAGTCGACCGAGAAAGCGTAGAAGAGGCTTGTTGCCGGCAGAGCTAATTGCGAACGCAAGAACACTGGCCGATGGATGCAAGAAGGCGAAGGAATTTAATAGAGGGCAAGAACCGAGTGTCAATGCAAAGCGATTCACTGTAAAATGAATATCGATGAGACGAAATTCAACAGGTTTTATGTATGAATTATAGAGTCCTCTGACTGTCACTCTGGATGACCATCTTGAGGATATTTAATTTATTACATATTCGGAACAAGTAAAATAGTAAACAGTAAATAAGAAAAAGTTAAAGAAACGAGATATTGATATATAAACTACAGGAAAATAAATTATTATTAAAGCGAATAGAAGATCATGCTACTCTAAAGGATTCACAAATGAGTGAGTGAATGCACGTGCAAGGGATTAATTCTGATTTGAAATTCTATCAAAACGTTTGCTCTTCTCTGACCATGGAAGGCATTAGTACAGCTTGATGATTATAATTCAAGTATCCCCATGATTTCATTTAAATCTGTTCACCGTCGATAAATCCAGTCAATTTAGAACCTAGTTTATAGATCATGGTACAGAGAGCCAACACCGAAGGGGATTGAAAGTTTTTTTATTAAATTGGCGTTACTTCCTTCTACCTTGAACTTTTCTCAGCTTTGTAAACTTAATACAAGCTAATTAAAGTTCTGGCACCTTGACATTTGATTAAACGTTTAGTCTGCTATTTTATATCATTTTTATTATCACAGTTCCATTGAAAAGGCGAAGTCAAATGGCAAACGAAAGATTACCACAAGATATATCTTTTTTTCACTCGTTAAGGAAAGGTTATGACATGTTCATCGATAAATCGGGTGGAAAATAAGTGCAGATATTGCATTCTATAAAATTGGAATAACGTTATTGCTCCTTGAAATTTAATCTAGACTTCATGATAATTCTTTGGTGCTATGGAGCATACGTTTAGAGTTGCAAAGTAGATTGAGTAATTCAAAATGTTTATAAATGGTATTATCCAAGTTTTGTAATATTAAACATTTTGTATTGGTAATTACCAAGTACATTTTACTATCAAAAGATTAATAATATATAGAATATACTTCATCTATTGGGTCAAGAAAAAATCCTGCAATTTTAATTTTATACTTTGTGACAGTACTTTAAATTGAGATATCTTATCGTCTATTGGAACGTTTCTAGTGTTATTTATCACTTTACTTGAGATATAACTTAGAAAACGATTATGAATACAATGGCAGTCGATAAAGTGAATATTCAACGCTCCAGTCTTATGTTTTAATTTAAATAAAAGATACATTGAAATCGCTGATATATTTTCTGATCATGGTACCATTATTAATGCAAAGAAGATAAAATCAGATGTAATTTTAAAAATTACATGTGCCAAGTGGTTAAAAAATGTCGAAACTCAAGAACAGGAATACAAACTGTATTAATAAAATCGAAAAAGCAGAAGTCATTGGTAAAAATGGAGAATATTTAATGAAAGACCACAAGCAGTATTAATATAGGAATGATCAACGTTAATGAATCGAAATGGAACTGTACTTCGTCATAACTATATAATCTACTGTACAAAATGAAAACATTGGCTAAAATGGAAAATTATTACTACATCCAGTCTATTTCCTAGACTTAACAGAATATTTACTTTGATCATTACAAAGTACTAATGAAGAGTAAAGAATTTAATGCAATTGAGGACCCAAATATTTTCCTAAGATATCTTCACAAGGTGTTTAAACTATAGAGCATAAATTTAGAAAGCAACACTAACATTCATTCAGAAATGAATGTCATATCTCTTTGTTAGCATTCTGAGATTACATAGGCAAACAAAATTTCTTATGAAACGACTGGATAATTTTTATTACACCGAGCAAATGTTATAAGAACAAATGTGATCCGAAAGGTTAGTATACACCAGTTCCACGAACCACGCGTATCAGCCATAAAACTATGCGATGAAAATTACTGCGTATGACCATGCAAACGTAGAAATAGTTGCACAGATCCATAATGTGTGTGTAGAATGAACGAGTTACGGAGATGGTCGTCAAAGGGTTAAGTAGCCTCGTATCTGTCAAGTAGGTCATCGAAGTAGATCTGTCTGTTGCAGATTATACAATGCGTATCTCGTCGAGCGACTCAATTTCCGAGCTTCGTCTAGAAGTTTCCACGCAGCAAGTCGATTTTCTTTTCGACAATGGCGGAATGCTCTCGATGATCAGCAGCTGGTCCTCTTCTTCGGCTCCCACGATTATTTTTACGTTATTTCTCCGTGAAATAAAATCCCCTTTCACCCATGGTTTCCTCAGGGTTAGCTGACCTGAAGTGTACAAACAGGTGTTAATTGCAAAATATTATCGCATGTGAATAATTTAGAAAGAATAGAAAACTATAATTATCTCTTTTCTTATATTATTATTTACATTAGTTTGTTATTTATCTTTTTGTATTATTATTTTATTATTTTTTAACTTCTTCAGATCAGATTAATTATACTACCATCGGAATACAGACGAGCTTTTAAAGTGAAAATTCATTGTTGAATTTACGGAAAGAACGATTGAATCGTGGGATTCTCAATGCAATGGAAAAACACAGTCGCGGAAAAATGTAAGGAAGATTCGCAAATAATTCGATTTGCCACACAACGGAACGTAAGGTTTCACGAATTAAATCGTCGAGTGGAGTTACGCTCTAATTCTCAATCTTAATTCGTGTTTGGCACACGTACGTCTAATGATAATCCTTATCAAATGGTGTACACTGTCAGTTTGTGTATTGGACCATCCTGTAAGCCTCTTTTCATTGCATAAATCAATTTTCACACCGATTAAAATGAATAAATTGAACGAGTGGGAGAACAAAAGCTAATGACTATATTAATAATAAATACTATTATCTGATCGATATAATCCTAATTAAAAATATATAAATTCGATGAAATGTCGTTTGAGCAAGCCGGATTAGTGGTGGAATAATTAATAATAACCGGCTTAGTCTCTGCTGACTGAACAAGTACGCGTTCCCTTGTAAATTCTCAAAATCTTCTGATCGGTGATCATAAAAGAGCAATTTACAAATAATTAAGGAGAACTTTTTAAAAATAAGTATACCGTTCGGTGGACGGTCTTTATCTGATGTACCTCCCTCATTAACCTGGCATGGAATTTTGATTTCAAACACAGATACATAACGTGGCAAACGTAAATAGTGTGCATGCACACTTCACTAACGTGACCGACGTAACATTGGCGTAGCATTAACGTCACCACGAAGGAGCGATGCTTAAAAAAACTCTTCGATCACGTAAATGTGCCTAAAAAAGAATCGTCGTCTATCTATGCGTCATTATTGGGCTCTGCAAGATTGTCGGAATAAAAGGAGAAAAGGAAAGAGACGAAGGGAAGAAAGCAATCTTCGCGCAGAAGAAAAGTTGTAAGATCGGAACAAGCAATACGTTACAAGCGTGACGGTAATTGTACTTGAAACTGGGTTGCGTTCAACAGATAAAATCAATGACAAACGACTTGCTGTTTCGTTCGACGAATTTCACTGAAACACGATCAACCACGTCTTCTTGATCCCGAATTTATGAATATTCATTAAGCTCACGCGATTTTCTACGTTACAGCTATTTAAATTTTCACGGATTTCCCGCCAATTCTTGATATGTATTTGATTCTATATTCCGCAATACAAATGGAGGAGATGACATCCAATTCTGACAATCGGAATAAAAATTCTTCAAAAATTCGCAACCAAAGAGAAATATAAAATGAAAGAACTTTCCAAGATATTTCCATTGCAATCCTCCATATTGGAAGACTTCGTAACTCAAAAACTTGGTAAAGAATTTTATATTCAAGAACACAATGACCCGCTCATTGAGGTTAAACAAAAAACAGGAAGTTTATACAAATTTTTCCAAAAATTTATTTTTTTCAAGTGAATTGCTGCTCTGCGTATAATTTTTCCACGTTGGTCCACGAATAGAGAATCCTCTGTGCTCCATCCAGATGCAAGTAACAATCCAGAAGCTTCATGGAAGATTTATATGCAAGTGTACATACTCGTTGAAATTAACGAAGAACGAGGAACATTGTAGAAATATTTTCAAAAAATTATTGCATCGTGCGAATCTCCTTCTCGTGCAAAAATTTTCTCTCTACTTTGATTCACGTACCTAGGATCGATAGGAGGACGGGACGAATAATGAAATGAACAATTATGAACAATGTATGTATATTTCTTCACAAGCTATAGTATTAATCTAGCGCGTAAAATCGTTTTTCATCCGTATCGACGATAAACGGTACGGTAGTCGGTATTGAATTCAGATTAGCCTCGAGTCGTACAGCATCGGTATCTTAATTTAATAAAGGTAAGCCGTACAAATCGTACCGTAAATCGAATCGATGTCCCCGTATTACGTGGACTCGGGTTCACCGCGTCTCCGTACAATTGTTTTCTGTATATATCTATATATTTCACTTTTTCTAATTTATTGTCACGCGTTTAACATTACTAATACCTGCGTTTACTCAGGGTAAGAACTTATTCTAAGTCGCCGACCGAAACACGTTGAACAATTACGTTTCACATCAACGACACGTGCGAAGAAATATAAAGGAAACGGGTGTTCGACGAATCCCCGGGGCGGATCTCGACGCACGGAAACGGAATTCTTCAGTCCTCGGTTACGTTTACGTAATAATGGCTCTCCTCGTCGCTGGCAAGTCCGACGATCTTAATTTGCTTACGAATAATCAAAATACGCCTGCCGTATTATAACAAAGTAACAAACAATACACCTAAATTAATCAGTAATGATGGAGCGCGGGACGCTCTCGATTTAAACCTCTCCACCCTAGCCGGCTCTCTGAAACAGATAAATACACATTGGAGGTTACCGACTCCGAGTACTCGACCGTGGTCTGTTATCAAACCTCTGAATTACTTGTTACCGATGTCGTTAAAAGGACATCACGATTCGTATTTCCAATTTAACCGCACGAAATTGATTAACGCTAGAACTGCCCTGGTACGTCTAGCTAAATACACCATACGTATATAATTATATCTAAAGTGGTATGGTGCAAATAAATAGATACACGTGGCTGATTTTGCAGGTATAATTAATTTGCTAAAAGTAGCTGCAAGCTTTTGGTAATTGCAATAATATCTGGAAATAGTCATTTTGATTCTCTTGATGCTTCTATTGTTAAAGAAAATACCGACGATTGAAATTGTTTAAAAACGGTAATAAATTTATTTCGATAAGATTCTGAAGCAAGTAAGAACGATTAAAAAGTGACAGTAAAGTAATACGAAGGACTTTCGATATTTTGTAGAAGCTGCGAAAGGAGAGACGAGGAAAATAAGTCTACTCACCGGAGTTTCTTTGCGACCAACGATTTTGCACTGAGGGCGGCCCCACATACCGTACTGGTAGTTGCACGAGCAATCCTGCTGGAGCTGTAAATTAACGAGGCCATCGCTGATCCTCTTGGCGACCACTTGGACGAATTGCCTCTTCTGATTCGGTTTCGCGTCCAAGAAGTTGTTCGAGCTGAACGTTGCTCCGCCAGACTGCAATAAGACCTCAGGTAAACGCTCTATTCGCCAGCTTCCTGCTTGTTTCTGTCTTTCTCGGCGCTCACGGTTCGTAATAATAGATGAGGATCACTTGTTGAACACTTACGGAAACCGCGAAGTCAGCGCAGACGTCCTTGATCGTCGGTAAGAGATTGCTCTTCATGTCGGTGCTTCCGGTGAGAGGCTTCTTCTTGCTGTCAGCGAACGTGTACACGCTGTCTTGGTCGTATCCGACGATATTCTTTTGAGGTTTGCCCGAGACGAGCAGGTCGCCTGGATACGACACGTGGTAATATGTGAGTCCAAGATCACGGTAAATTTTGTGACCTAGCAAGAGCCTGAGTTGCTGCAGCTGAAACAGGATAGTTTAAACGTTCTTCAGCTTCTTATCCTTGTGACATCTTATCCTTTTCAGGATCATAATTAAAATACGTTTTGAGCAATATATGGATGGATTTCTCTCCTCGAAAGAAGAATATTTCAAGTTTCAAGGTGGAAGCTCTGCACTATTCTTATAATTAAAAATTTTGTAGTACAGACGTAAGATACGGATTAATTCGAGTTCCAGAAAAGTGGAAGCTTTGCACTATTTTTGTAATTAAAAATTTTTAAACAGAGAAGTAAGATATGGGTTATCAGGCTACCATCAAAATTTATTTCTCGAAAGAGGTGATTTAATAAATTTGATAGTGTATTTAGTTTCAATTGAAGAAGTATCTGTTTAATTATTACTTTATTTCTTGCTATAATTTCAATAAGGGAATTAATTGTTAAGCATGTCTGGCATCGAGTAGTTAATTTTCTACACTGTGCAAATAGGTCCATCGTTCAAAGGCTATAATAATGAATTGATTTTCAAGAAATTATAGAAGCTTGATTGCCTCTGATGCTAGCTAATCCTGATAGATTACTAGCTCGTGACTATTAATTACTAACCAAGGCTATTAATCCCCGAGTCAGTGTTACCTCCAAATTGGCATCGTTAGAGGTACTACAGGTTTGGTCCTTGAAATATTCTTAGGTTTACAAAGGAGGTTTAATTTGTAATCTATAAATCCAACTCTTCCACAAATATTATACACAAATACTCGATGGACTCATTTCTCACTTCAAGATTCTGATTATTGTATTATCTATTTCCAAACCTCTATTTTGTGACATTTAAATGACAGAGTAGACTAATCTGTGATCATCATGATCATATATTTCGTTTCTAGGTTGAAAAGTTTGAATGGGTTTGAAATTCTGCAAGATTCTTTATTCGAATTTCGAGAACTCGAAAACTCAAAAGTTCGGAACTCCAAGTTTTTAAAGGTAGTAATGTATGATGATGATAGATCAGATGGCAATAGAGATATTAATAAAATTCTGCTTACCGAAATAATGAACGGACTCTTTGCACAAGGGTTCGCGATCACTCCAACCACAGCCTTGGCTGCACCTACTCTGAAGGGATATTGAATAGCCTCTTCGTAAGCATCTGTCAACTTGAATGTGCCCAGTTCAACGTCCAATTTCTGGTGCAAGTAATTAAGTTTCGTCTCCATGGTGCCGTTCTTCGCTTCCTAGAAATCATTATAATCTTGTTTATCACGCTTAGAAGAGCCTGCAAAAGGTCTCGACTCCTATGATTTATGTTAGATAATTTGCAAATCATTCCAACGTAACGAGTGAAAGAAACTGAGGCATAAAAAGCATGTCTGTCGATCAATCGACCGTGGTAAAGTTTTCCTATGTACTATGAATTTCGATCGCTATATCAAGGCTGCCACCCACGAGATATCGCGATTCACAAATGACGTCAGACCTAGATCGACGCATTGTCATTGTTAAATATAAATAGATCCACTTATACATAACAGATTTTTTAAAATGGAATGAATATTCATCGTTCGAGTATATGCGAATAATCGATCTAACATTTGTTTATCCTTGCAGTTTTCCTTGTACTCCAGTGACTGATGGCAATTTCTTACGCAGCTGAAGAAATCCTATTTACTCGATTTTGAGTCACAACGAGGAAAGACAGCAATGGACGGTGAATCAACTTCTTGTTATGTCAAACGGAGTTGCATAAACACGTGGCTTGCCGACCACGTGCTTCTCAAGAGTATATACCTACACGGTCGAGAATGATAATGATGTCGGTGAACGGCGCGCAAAAAACGTTGTCGCGTCGATCGAAAGTGTAATTGAACTCTTGAATGATCTTTAATGCTCGTTTTATTACATCAGCCTATGTTTACCACGTGCTTCCTTAATAAGCTTCGTTCGAGACACGAGTGATGTCTGTCGGAACATTTACACGAAAATATTCCAGCGTTCACATTTACTGCGTTCAATAAACGATTTATAAATATTGCATTAAATCGTTTCAGAGGACATGGTATATACACATAGCAAGGAAAAAGTCTCAGAATTATACCAGCGAAGTTGGAAAATAATTCAGCGACATGTATAACGTTCGCAATGTATTATATGTAGATATGGATCAGAGTGGCGCTAGTGTGTTAGGTGGAGACGGCGGAGACTCCAACAAAAGATGGAGTAATTGAAACTTTTTATTTTTCAATTAATTCGTGGTATGAAAATCGAGCTAAACACGCGTATCACGAATAAAAGTCGTGGTTCGTGGATAACCAAACACGCGTATCACGGGTAGCCGTGGCTCAATGTAAACATAGGTCAGGCTCATGCTAAGTTTTCGTCGATGTCTTTCTGTTTCAGTTACGTGTTATTCTTTGTCGTGTTCGCACGAAGTGACCCAACTTACACAACATAGGTCAGACTTGTGGTAAATTTTCGTCATCGCCTTTATGCCTTAGTTACGTGTTATTCTTCGTCGTCATCGTTAAAGATCGAGGAGATAAACGTTCAAATATATGTAACGAATAGTGCAATTCTTTTGTACGAAGCATCGATAAAAGGAAAGTAAAAGTGGAAGTAAAATTACCTCGAGAGTAACTGTAGGTTTCTTCTCATTGAACTTCATGTTCTTCACTTCGCCTTGGATGTTAGTATTACCATCCACCGTGTAGTGCTGTGGCCACTTCATATTCTCGCTATATCCAATCAGTCCAACGTGCACATCTCTGTAAAATAAATTTAAGTCGAATAAGTTTCGTATTCGACCTTCGAGAATCCAAGATATCAGTGTAATATAACGATATGAATCCTACTCACGTTATTCCTTGTTGTTTCAGTTCATCCCTGAGCTCAGTCATCAATGGCTGAACCATCTCCTTGAACACCTTTTCATTTGGATTCTGTTGCTCGACTACGAAAATAACGTCAGCCTGATTCTTCGGTGTCTTCACACTGAATGTACTGCCTACATCAATTTTGTCATCTCCCACTTTGCAGCTCACTGAAAGTAAATGCAAGGTCAACGGTCTGCTACTTTAAATCGAGGACGATCAGATTCGAACTCATCAATTTTGTCATCTCCCACTTTGCAGCTCACTGAAAGTAAATGCAAGGTCAACGGTCTGCTTCTTTAAATCGAGGACGATGGGTCACTTACTGCAGGAGGATGGAACACGGGTACCCATGAGGCCCTGTGCGTAACAGGCATAGTGGTAGGCTGTGGCGATTGTGCAAGCTTTTGTAGGTGTGCTACCTGCAACCGCGCGGTTGCAGGCTTCGCGATATTGAGTTCGATTGACGTAGTTGAAGCAAGATCTGTAATCGCATTTTATTAGCCATTAGAAAAAAAGAAAGAAATATCGTTTCATGTGCGTTAGAAATAGAGGAATGTACGCAACGTTTCATTTGCACCTTTGGAGACACTAGATGCAACGTTATTGTTAGAAAAAGAATCTATCCAAAAGAAAATATCTTCTTCAATTAATCTTCACAATATTGTTGTCGAAATCTAATATTAAATACTGAGTGAGATACGGTTGTACTCTGAAACTCTTGTTCCAATTGCTATTAATCTTATGTATAAGTGAATTAGACCAAATAAGTATTTTTCTTCGAAATTATTATTGGACTGTAACGTATTGAGTTTTATATGATTTTATGTTACTTCGTACTTGCATAATTTGAATCAGCATGTAATCACATCTAATAGTTCAGAGTTTGTATTGTACCATAGAACAAAGGAGCACCATCTAGCGTCGAAATCTGATACTGATTATAGGCCAATTCAATAGAACTTAATTGCACAGTAATTTGATTTTATCAATTATCTGTCAGTGTTTAAGGTTGCAAAGATAGTGATATTTCTATGTGTTCGAAAGTGCTTGGACAGAGTTAGAATGGCAGGTCAGGCTGAATGGAAATTTTTTGGTATCAGAGAAAATTAGACTCTGGATTTTTTCAGGTGTGAAGACGAAACTTTAGTACATATGGCTACTCGACACTTGGGTAATGTACATCATAAACACAGCTGTTGTACAAACATGTCGACCCACTGGTCTCTACAATGATCTACGTCTTCACATGTGGTACGTGGAAATGAAGTTGTACGAGAATTTCTGAAGAACAGAAGCTTCGCGAGAATGGTGGAAGATAAATGAGTCATCATCTGTTGTGAGTATAAATAGAAATCCAAAAATTTGTCGAAATAAAATCTTGTGTGGACTGTAAATAGAATGAAAGTATTCTTCGTATTTAAGAAAGAACTGAAGGCCGTATAATTTACGAAAGGTTGCTCCATATTTTCGGAAATTGTAAGAACAAAAATCTGAAATTAGTAATTTTGACTATTTTCTAATGTTATATCCAATTATTAGGTAACGAAAAAGGATTACGTACTTCAAAGGTGAATTCTCGCTAGCAAAGTACTCGGTACAGGTTGGGTCATTGGGTGCATTTTCTGCATTGGCTGTTGCTGTGCAGCTGTCCTTCAATCTGTACGCGTTTCCAAATTCTACTTCATTGTCCGTGATCTAAAATGAGCAAAGAAGTATCATTTATTTCGTGTTCACTCAAATTCAAAAGATTATATACGCCTTACGTTCCATAATCTCATAAAATTTCAAATTCGTCGCGCCCGAGATTTGAAAAATTTCAAAACTGCGAAGTTTTAAATTTTTTAGATTTGAGATTCGTCAAATTTTAAAACTACGAAGTTCTAAACTTTTCTGATTTCAGATTCGAAAATTTAGAAAATTACGAAGTTCCAAATTTTCGGATTCAAGATTCGGAAAAATTAAAAATTTGGAAAATTTCTCCTATTCGAGATTCAAATTTCAAAAATACGAAGTTCCAAATTTTCTAGATTGGAGATTTGGAAAAATTTCAAAAGTGCATTCGAACTCGTAAGGAGCGTTACCCTTTAAAGATCGAACGATACCCTGGGTGGCACGTGAGCCCCGGTGTCCGCACGATTTCCACGAACGCCCCCGTTTCCGTCAGCGAGAAGTCTTTGGAAAGTTCGTGACAGCGGACGCATACCTTTCCGGAGGGCAAAGTGTAGTCGTCGTAGGGCTCGTTGTTTGCGTCACCGAGGAGTCCTCGGATCTTGCCGAGGTAGAAACCGGAAACGTGGACGGCGCAGACCATAGGAACGTCGATCGAGCACGTAACCCGAACACCGTAATCGGATTTGACATTGTTGAATGGCGGAACCAAGTAAGCGTGCAGATTCTTCGTGTAGGCTGGGACATCGGCTGGCTTGTTATTGACTAAAATCTGGAAGAATAATAATTATTAACTCTTTCGATATCTCGAATCGGTTCTTAGTTTCTAATCCTAGATCCAACTTCATTTCCTATCGTCATTCGAATTAGAAGTTTCACAAAATTTTATTTCCCGCCATTTTACCCGTTTCTCTCAAAGCTAAACGTTAATGCATCGTAGGATGAGGATCTTCTGTACTTACACTTCCGTCTTTATTGAGCGTGATGCTCTCCTTAGGTTCAGTTAACGTGATACTGTTGAAAGTTCCATCCCGGAAATTCGCCACGACAGAGAAGTTTCCGTCTTGCATATCCTGTGCCAGAATATAAGTGCAGTCTCCGGCCAAGCCTACATAACGTTTATCGAACGTGAAGAAGTGTCCTCCATCAGTGACCACTGCTGACTGGCTGAATGGTGGCACGATGTTTTTCAGGTTGACCGAAGATGGCCTGAACAAGAAACGACTTTCCATACTCTGAACCACTCACGACGAATCTTAAAGACGGATCTTAAGAAAAACTCTCTGAAGATCTTTGAAACTAAAAACTTAGCGAAAGTTTTGTTTCGCGAAGAAGGAGATGATAATTATCTGCAATTTTATGCGTTACACTGAGCTCTACTTGCAAATTTGGTGACGATAGAGCGAAACGAAAAGGAAACGGAATGAAACGAAACGGAGGTTATTAATGTCACTAGTGGCGCTAGTGTGTAGTGCAAGGAGTTAAGCCAGTTGGCACAAAGTGTCAACCCTGTTTCGTGTCTACTGATGAATGATTCCAGGCAAGTGTAAACGATATTTTCCATAACATTTTAAGTCACATGAAGCGCAAAATGGAGTTATGGTACATGTATGATTTTGAAAACACGAAGCAATCGTAAAATCAGTGATATTTCGGTGTTGCGTTCACAACAGTGTAGGGTAACTTGCATTTGTCAGTCTAATTTAACTGATTTCTAAGTGATCTTTTTAAATCTACGAGGGTCTCTCGTTTCTTCACGCGTATGGTATAAACCCAGGTGAATTCTCCAATACATTTCTGAGATTCATTTATCTAAATCGTTTACCTGTATGCGTAGTACAGGTCCAAAGGAGTTGGCAGTTCTTTGTTGCGCAAGAGATTCCAGATAGAGAGTCTGACGGTGGAGATGATTGGGAATTTGTACCAAAGACTGAGATCCGTGGGCGCCTGGATTTGGACGAAGCCCAACACGTTGTCCAACGTTATTTGTTTCTCCAACATATTCAGGGTCGATTGTACCGTGGTCGTCAATTGCGAGTAGATCTTCTTCAGATCGTTTACTTCGTCGACCTGTGATTAATTTTACAAATTTGTGAATTGTCAAGTTCGTTTCCTCTCTTTTGTGGGAGATCTTTCACACGCGAAGACGCGATGAAGTCTCCAGAAAAATACCTAACTACGTTTCTATCCAACTAAATATCATGTTAAAAGACACACAATATTTGGAATAAGTTTTTCAATCAGTTTCTTAATTCTAGCGTCTGTTAAACCCAGTGTCAGTAGAAATTCTTCTGTTCGATGTCATGCAGCAAGATTCTCTTTATCTCTGCACAGTAAAGACCCCAAGCTTTTGGGCCGACAAAATAGATGAACAGAATGAACTATACATACCTTCTCGTGTTTGACGTGCTTGACGACGTACTGGCAAACGAGGTCGGCAAGTGTTCGAAGGTCGGGAGTGGGCAGGACACTCTTCATTACCCTACACGTTTCTTCGAGCAGGACCAGAATGGTATCCGGTACTTGCCAATTCTTCAGCTCCTGCAATTTCTCTTTAAGAGTGTCGTAAATTGGTAGAGTCTTCAGTTGGACCTCGAGGTAGTTAACCAATTCATTCAGGTTCTGTTTGAGTTGTTCCAGTCCTTTGATGATGATCTTCGCGAAGTCTTGCGACATTACGGATACCGTACTCATCGCATGCTGTATCTCCTTCTGGTGTTTGTTTATTTGATCGAGGAGAGCTTTGAGGTACGTGTTGGCCAGATTCATCGCGGCATCGAGAATATCCGTGATGTGTTTGAATATCTTGTTGTAGGACTCCTTTAGCTGTGGATACATTGCCTTCACCCCTTCCTTCAGGTCGGTCAGTATCACAGTCAGTTGATGCTGTAGTTTCTCCAAACCTTGCGCCACCTGCTTCATAGTTTCCACTACGGCTGTGATTATGGCGCCGAAATACTTGTTCCTTGAGATTCAAAGAACGTTATTAAAAAATTTGTTAACATTTTTGTTGTTGTAAATATTTAAAAAGGAGAAAGTACTCACAAGGTGGCCTGAATTTCTTTCACGGTCTCGTCGGCATTCATTTCGTCCTTTATCTTGTTCAGTTCTGTTTCATAGTACTCCATAAGAGGTTTCATGTTCGGTTGCGCCTTCTTCAGGTGCTCCAGGAAGTCTGTGCCTTCTATCTTCAGTTGCTCTAGCACGTACTCGTTGATCTCTTTTATTTTCTTCAGACGTTCGGTATTCTTGTTCTTAACGATTTCCTGGAGAAATGTAAATCGTAGATTTGTCACTTTAACTTAACCAATTGCGGACGGTGACGAGACATGTCATATCTTCTATGCCCCGATGAAGGAACTTAGAACGCGTAAGAAATTTTGTATGAAAATATGATACTGCAAAATTTCCCATTATAGACCTGATTTTTTGAATTTCGTTAAAGAAGAAATTTGAGAAATATTGTTCCCTTTTTTCTTTGGATACGAATAATATCGTCTATAGGCAAATTTATTTTGTTTTATCTTAAGTATTAAGTAAAATCGAGTGCTAATTCTTTTATACAATGGTTCTAATAATAATAAGATGTTTAGTCATTGTGAACTCGAGTCTTCTTACCAGTAATTCGGCAACGTTCTCTTTGCTGTAACCAAAATCTGGTTTCAGGAAACGCTTCTCGTCCAGGTGGACCAAAACGTGGAACAGGCTCTTCTTCGCGCCATCTTTGTACGTATCTACGTGGATTCCTCCCAGTTGGCCGAGGATCAGTTGACCATTGACGCTGAGTTTGTTGTTGGGGTTATCTGAAGATAAAATTTTGTCCGAGATAAAAGCATGCGTTGAATCCTAAATTATGACATCAAACGGATTTCGAGGAAATCTTTCGAAAGGAATGCTTCTGCTATAGGTTTGTACGAAACGCTGATGAAAAATGATCGTTTTCAGTGTCTCGAGCTCACCTTTCAGGTACACCTCGAGTTTGAATCTGTTCAGATCGTTAGCCTCGAAAGATAGAACTTGAGTGTCGCCTAAAGCTGTCACTTCTCTGTCTATCTTCTGTACGTTCCTCGAGAACTGCATTTTCCAGTTATCCTTCAGCAGCTCCCTGTCAGGCAAAGAGAGCACCAAGGACACGTGATTGCAGTCTGCCGAGAAGAAGCCACCCAGTGTCCTTGGTTTCTGTTTCACGTCGTTGTAGGTGAAGAAACTGCCAAATGTTATTTTCTTATCGTCGCCCATCGAGACTGCCAAGTGAGATTTCAGATCGAGTTTCAGTTGTTGGCCACGGCTGGTCACTTCGATCAAACCGGTGATGTTGTTGTTGTTCTCTGAGGACGATTGCCTGTCTAGGTTAGCGGAGATTGAGATCTTCTGAGACCTTTTGGCGAACACGTCGATGTCCAGATTGGCGGACATTTTGAGGAGCTGGCTCAGTTTAACGTTGCCTTTCAATATCATATCCTGGAAATGCGAATATTCTATTTTACATGGAAGTTAAATGGGCCAGGCACTAGTGGTCCATAGATTTATTTACCTTCGTCTGCGTTGGATACGTGAATTTGATTTCTCCAGATGCACCTTGATTGTTCTTGTCTATATCGACGTCTCCATTGAAAGACAGACTGGTCTTTTCCGTTGGTTTGTTCTTCCTATCCAGATAGAGGGACAGGTCCATCTTGTATGCACCGGTGTGTTTGCTCTTAGGTAGATCGTACACGAAGACGGCGGCCATTTCGCGCGAAGGCAGAGCCAAGATGGTAGCTGCAATCGCCAACGTCGTTAACATATTCGTCTCATCGACGTGCAATGCTATTTGAACGACTGTTCCAAACTCTTACCTGCTTCTTTAGGATGAATATACAGTTGGTAAGTGTATTCAGACTTGTCCTTCGAGGAATGGACGTAAATGTTCGTGATGTGATCGAATATCGGGTTCTTCAACTCCGTCGTGGTTTTCAAACCAAATTCAGCAGGTACGTTGAACTTCTTCAGGTCAACCTCCACCGTTAGTTGATGTTTCACCCGAGATTCTTCTGGAAAACGAAATGGTCGAAATTCTATTCAATTAAATTCTATTTAATTAAATTGTATTATAAATTTGTATGTAGGTAGCTAGGTAGCTAGGTAGCTAGATAGATAGATGGATAGATCTGTATATGTCGCTATATAACTTTGGAACAATCTGTATAGAAGTTGATCACTTACGTTCAGCGTTGAGGATCGACTGTAGCTTGAACTGAGCGCAATCCTTGCTCTGCTCGCAATAGCTGTTCAACACGTGTATCTCCTTGTTCGTTAGCTTCAATTCACCCACTATGGCAGACGGGCCAAAGTTCGCGTTCAACATCATCGCCATACCAAATTCTCCGTCTGTTTCACGTCTTAACTGCTGACGGGTATACTTGAACGAGGAGCTCCTGGTATTGTCGCCGACCTTCAAGTTTCCATTGCCCTCCACCACGATCTTTCCGTCCTCCTCACGTTGCTTGTAGCTTGTGCTGGATATACAGTGCAATCTTAATCTCCAAATGTTCAAAATATCGTTAGAACAGCCGGGTGACAGTGTCTTCCATTCTTGGAAGACAAACATTAGGTAACATAATAACTTATTACTAATGAGACTAAAGTAAGGTGCCCGTTGTTCTATGCCAGCCATGGGTCAGCCTGTCCCTTTTATCGAAAAGCTTGTCGACTTCCGACCTATACGAAGGTCTAGGTATTCGACGCTTGTACTTGCAAAATGGGAATGTAATTTACGTACAGGTTTTCCGGATGCAGTCTTCGTGAAATAAACGAAGCTATTTAAATCGCTATTTTTCGTAACACGCGTCAGGATGTGGTTGACAAGAAGGGTTATAAGCGATCGAGTTAATACTAATAATGTAATACCTTCCAGTCACGATATTCTGGCCATCGCTGGTGACAGTAATGAGGATGCTCTTTCCAAGCTTCACTGCTGGTTTGTTGGAGATCTCAGCATGGATCTTGCGATGTGTCACCTTGTCACTGTCGAAGTTTGCGTTGATCACGAAGTTGTCGACGCTTTCAAGGTCCACGTGAGCATCAGCTACCACGAATCCCTTTGGTGTCTCCACTCTCCATTCGCCTGTGATAGAATGACGAACAAGTGCAATCTCTCCGAATTACCCGTAAGTAGTTTTGATATGTCACTGGAATTACCTTTGTACTCTTTGCTACCAAGTTTTTGGAACTTGGAAAGTATCTCTGTTTTCCCTTTAGGAGACCTGAATATTACGCGGAAGAGTTTGTTGGTGTCCAGGTTCTGAACCTCGCTGTTCAGTGCGTACTTCTTGCCATCAGCTACGGCTGTACATTCGAGTATCACTCTGTTCTCTTCCACCATCCTCTGTGAAGCAAAGCATAACGAATCAGAATGCCAAGGTACTGTCAATTTTTCATATCTTTCCTGTTGTTAACTAATAATTTGCCTCGTTAGTAAGGACTGCATAATAGACTAGGAAGTGGTTCTACATGTAAAAATAAGTGAAAAAGGAAGAAGACAATTTTTTCCATTGTTCTTGAAACAATGTAGATCATACGAATGTGAAAATTAATTAATTAATGTCAAACAAAGAAAAGTTGAGATAATAACAAATTTTTATAAGTATTAGAAATATGCATATGATATAGTAATACTCTTAATATCTGGACACGGTGTATTAAATCTGAAATACCTTGTAAGAGACTTGTAGATCAGCGTTGCGCAAAGAATCCAGGAGTAAATTGGCTTTAGCCCTCAAATTGACTATCTTCTCCAGAGGATAGTATTCGTTGTCAGATGTGAGGGAGAACGTCCTGTCTCCATAATGACCATCCATAACTAAATTAACCGTCTGCTTGGCAGGTGTAGGGTCGTACTTGTATTTTCCTGACAGTTCCATACGTGGAAGATCCAGGACGTTCAAAGCGAGTTTCCCGTCACCCTCCTTCACACTTTCCGTGTTATACCATCCCTTATCCTTCATTTGCAAGTCCATCTCGATCTTCTTATCGTTGTTGTACGTCAGTTTTACATTGCTCCCCACATTAAAGACATTCTTCTCGATCGAGTTCAACCAGTTCAAGAGGACCATGAGTTTCAACTGGCTTAGCTTCTCGTAGGGCAATTTAACTTCCAATAGATTGCTCAGATTGTTCTGCTCGTTCTCGTTTCCAATTTGTTGTTGTATATTGTGCTGTGAAACGATGAAGAAAAATAACGAAACGTTTATTTCAGGTAGAATTGGCTTCGCTTTAAAAGAAATTAGACGAATATTCATCTCGAATCTTCTGAGCTTCTTTTGAGTCCGACTCTGCAGAGACCCTTTCGCAATTATTCGTCATTTCATTGACGAATAAATTTCGATCGCGGAAGATTGACGCGATGAGATATTTGTAAGTAGAAAATTAATGTAAGGGTATGCATGTACAATTGCGATTCTAGCCTCTTGGTCTAAGTTAGAGAGGCCTCGAGATGGCCAAAGTATATAGTTCCATAGTATTTATGGTATATGTTACTGCGAAAGCTAGAAAAAGGCTGGGATATGTTCTACATATGTGTCAATTATCCAAAAAACTGTTATGAGGTCGATCAACCCAGACTTGTCCCTTCAATATTTGGCAAGTGTGACGTCAACGGGATCTGAGAGGCAAGGCCTGTGACGCAAGAGCAGTCATTCTGACCAGAGAAAGAAACTAATATTATACGATTCAAGAATACAGTCGAGGATTTTAAGGATCGACAATTAGAATCTAAGAGAGTAGAATTATTAAAGGTATATACGAATTAACTAAATCCCGAAATATAGTTAGACGTTAAAGTAACTTTGGAAATTATCCGTCATCTTCTCAGAAGCAATACCTGCGTTTCTGACATTAACGAAGTACTAAATTGATATTAACCAAGCAAACATCTTAGAAATGAGTTTAGTTGCATGATCTACTTGACTTGTCTGTCTCGCGATTAAGCACTTAAATTGACAAAGAATCTAGCATGTCGAGGATTCTCTCAACCACGATGCACTTTGGTCTTTAAAGTACAAAATTCACAGCAAAAGATCTACTATCCTTCTTTGTAATACGCTTAAATATCAAGCTCTTACCGTCCATAAGAGATCATCTCCTGAAGCCAACTTGACGTTGTACGAAAACATATTGTCGCCCTCAGTCTTGTCCAGCTGAACCTGGAAATTCCTAGGTAGATGATCCGACTTCAGTTCACCGCTCAGTTTCTTCGTTTCATGCTTATCCATCTGCGTTTTCTTATTCGCATTGAGCGACAGTTCTGTGCTCTTGCCCTCGGTGTCCACGAACTTCACCTGAGCTTTACCCCAAGAAGTTTGCGCCTGGTTGTTGGAATTCATGTCAATGCTGTAGCTTAGCTTCCTGGCTGGTCCGGAAGCCTGTTCGTGATCAGCCAGCGAACTATCGATCTGCATACTGTACTTGTTCTCCCCTCGGGACGTACTGCTTTTACTCTCGTACACCAGGTACCGTTTATTCGGTAGAGTGACGTCGACGTGCAGTTGGATCTGCTCGTCCTTGTCGTCTCCCTTTACTTCACTTTCAGCGTTCACTAGCAGTTTATAAGTCAAGAACTCTATCACGTTCTTCGTGTTCAAGGATTTCGCGGCGATCATAGTCGAAGTGGACAGTTTGATGACCTTGCTTGAATCGTTGTCAACATCATACATAAGCTCGAAGTTGCCTGTGTACTGAGGTCCTGAGATCTCCACGTTACCAACTGCCTTGATCTTTCGTTTGATTTTGGGCATATCGACGACCAGATTCAGGTTTCCTCTCTTTTGGCTCTCGCTATCGTACTGACCATTGGCTGTCAGGTAGTTTTTCAGGTTCAGAAGCAGGGTGCCGCTAATATTGGGGCTTCGTTTGGCTTTCAACATGAACTCGATGTACTTCGTACCTTCTACTTTCACGTTGAGGTTCGAGTTCAGTAGTTGAGGGTTAGCTTCTAGGCCTGTGTCGACCTTCGCCTTCTTTCCATTTAGATCGACATCAACTTCTAGTTGCAAGTTTATGTTGTTCTTACTCACGTCATGGGTCACTAACGCATCTGCGCTGTATTTGCCGCCTGGGGAGAGTTTCAGGGAATTGGTATACTTGCTCTTGTGTGCGTCTAGGGTTTGTCGTTTGGCCTTCAGTTCGACGCTGTTCTCCATTAACTCACCTTCCAATTCGACCTCGTAATCGCCAGGTTTTTCTGTGTCTAACTTGCCTGACAGTTCTGCGCCAAGTGTGAAGTTCTTGTATTTTAGTTCTAAGTCACTGTCGACCGTCTTGCTGGTGAGCTTACCGTTGTACTTAAATTTCAGGTTGGCCGCGGGATACTTGAGCTCGTTAGACGTGAACAGATGCAGGTTTGCTCTATTCAAGATGAAAGTTAGCTTCTGATCCAGCGACATGCGATTTGCCTCATCATGTGGACTTGTACTGTAGGTCAGATGGTTCTCTACGCCATTCTCAGCCGTCTTCACCTCCCAGTTAAGCTTAACGCCGAGCTGAGGATTGCTGGGTGACGCAGTGGCGAGGGAAAGTTTGTAATCCTTGTCTGATTTCTGACTATCCAGTTCAATAGTCAACTCTTCGTTCACGTAGCCGAGTTTCATGTTCATATTCATAGCATTGGGTGTCACTGCGAGTGATCCATCGGCGACCACCAATTTCTGGCCACTCACGACGAGAGCTACCTTGTCGAGCACGTACTTTCGACCACCGTGGTAATTTGACACCTCCACGGTGCCTTGCAGTTCATACTGTTGCCCTGGATCAAATCCTGTCTTCGAGCTGGCTAACTTCTCGATGTGCTTGGGTACTTTGTACTCCAGCACCGGTTTGAACTTGTTTCCGTTAGCCAGCATTCCGATACGACCAAAGTACTCGTTGTGATCATGATTAGCGATGATCGAGAGGGAAATTTCCTGAGCATTATTCTTAAGTACCACTTCCAAGGAAGCTTTCTTGATAGGCGTGTCTAGAGCTATCTTGCCGTATATGTTGGGCTCCAGACCCGCTTCTAGGGTCATGGATACGCGCCTGTTGGTTTTACTGTTCGGAGTGTCCAGCAGAACTTCGAAGGAACGTTTCTGAGGATCCTGTTTGTTGAGATTAACCCTGAAGTGATAGCTGCTGACATCGGTGTATTCCAGAGTGACGGCAAGCTTGGTTGGTCCACTTAACGGGAACAGAGGTTTCTGAGTAATGATACTGAGATCCTTGTAGGGATAAGAGACCTGTCCGCAAACTGTTATACCGAGAATAGTGGACAGTTTATCGAAGCAGTCAGAGTATTCCTTGCCTTTTGGGAATTTAGGGGGCACGTACTTGTTACCTTTTGGCCCAGAGCTGAGTAGAACTTCGTTGCTAACACTGATGAGCTCTTGCTTCTTTTTAGGAACGCCAAGGTTCACATCGATACCAGTGCCATCTAGGATAGAGACAGACAAGTCTGCGGAGGTGGCTGTGTGTAGGGTCGTGACGAATTTCATTCCAGATTCGGCTCCAGGTGCCTGTACGATCATTTTTCCAACGACTCTGACGGAAACACTGGGCTCAAGAGCGACTCTGAAGTTGGCGTTCTTGGGGTCTGCGAGTATAGCTTGGAGGTCGACTTTTCCCTGGGTCTTCAAACGAAGCGCGCTTGTTCCAGTGACACCAAGGTTCAAGGCGCTGCCCAAACCTGTCGGGTATACCAGTTCGGAATCGAGGAATAGGAGGTAATCCTCGAAGTCGTATTTCAGATTCTTGGTAAGGTCGAAACCCTTCTGAAGCTTGTCGAATAATTTATCGATGATGGCTTCCGGACTCTGTTTCGTACTGTCACCTTGATAGCTCAGGTAAGCGAGCTCTACGCCGAACAACTTGACAGACAGGTCAACGTCGAGGTCCTGGTCGATCTCGTTGTTCCTCAAGTGCACGTTCTTCGCGAATCTGTCCAAATCTCCCTGCTTCACCTCGCGTTTCCCTCGTACAACCTTGTCGTATCGCTCTTTGATATACTTAGCGAGTCTCTTAGCCGTGCTAGTACCACTGTCAGTCAAGTCGTCCAAGTCCACCTGCCACAGCTTTCCCTTAGGACCAAGATAATGTTCTATCACTCTGTCCAGGTTCTCCATGCGCGTGTTCAATTCGAGGAAGTTGAAGTTGTGCCCGAACAGCTCCATCGTCATGTTCAGGTTCGTCGACCGCGGGACGAAACTGTTCTGACTGTATATGACGTTGCTCTCCATGGTAGAACCAACGCCTAACGAGTCCAACTTGTACGACAATTCGTTGTTGAAGGAGAACTTACGGATGTCCTCGGGGAATTTCGTTCGAGGCTTGATCAATCCAAGTTGATTCTTGGCGTCCAACTTGCTCGGGTCAGTCGATGCTCTCAAGTTCCTCAAGTGACTCTGGATGAACGATCCCACTTGATTCACCACTTCTTTGTCCAACGTCTCTTTCAGTTGATTAGCCACCTGTGGACAGGGGCAGGCGACCAAGGACAGGTACGACTTGATCCTCACCTCGCTGTCTTCCTCTCTATCAGCTAGCACCTTGAACAAGATGGACTTCCACTTCATCGAGCACCTGGTCGGCAGAGCCTCGATGGCTGCCACTCGTACACGGTTTCGTACATTCTTGTCAGCAGCGATGTGCCCTAGCTTGTTCAGAGTAGCATCGTCGAGGAACTGGGAGTTACCCAGAGCTTTCATAGCGGAGATGATCTGGTTCTCCTGTTCCCTGGTCTTGGCCTTGCCGTTGCCTACTTTCTCGCGTATCTTGTGCACCGCCTGCTTCACTTCAGGTACGTTCTCGCAGGAATTATCCTGGCAGTACTTGCCGATCACTTGCCCAACGCCAAGGTAGCCCAGTTTAGGTAGGTTAGGCTGGTCCAGCAGGCTCGCCACGGCAGCCACTGACGGCAGTTGCACGTATCGTATCAGAGCTAGACTAGCGTAGAATAAGTACGACTGGACCCCTGAGATTTCCTTGTTTTTCACCAATTCTACCCCCACTTCAGCCGCTTCGCCGGTTCCAGCGTGGAACAGGGCCTCGAGGAAGAGCTTCTGGTCATCTTTGTCGAAGCCAGCGCCGGCTCGAATCTTCTGGTACACGGATAACATGTCTTTCTTGCTGCTCCTCCGCAGGGTCTTCACCAGGTTCGCGAATTTCTCGGCAGCTTCGGTCTTCACGCCTCCTGCCACTTCGTTCTTCGCTTCCTGCAACGCTTTGCCGATATCGTCCGCGTTGTACTTCAACGTTGGCTGTGGTGCCTCGAAAATCAGGGACTTGGGCTGAGACACCTCTGCTGTTGGATTGTCTTCCTTCTCGCTCTTCAACGTCAACGTGGTCTCCACGACGGTCTTCACGCCTGCGTTGCCGTTGCTGAAGGGTCTGAGGTTGTACACTTCCTTGGTCGTCGCCTTGTTCAGGACGCCTCGTTTGTAGCGTTGCTCGATTTCCTGTCGCGACCCCAGCAGAGGGGAAGTCTTCAGACCTGCTGCTGTGTCTGTGCTTCCGGACACGAGGGCCAGGTTCACGTTCTCGCGGAATGCACACTGGGCGAGATCCTTGTTCTTGTTGACGATCAAAGTATCGCCTTCCTTGTGGAAGTTGAATTCCGTTGGACAGGATCCCATTACGTCGGTCTGAAAGAGGCATTACGTTGAAACTTGCGTTTCACTTATTTCTAGAATCTTATAGTACCGATACACAACGTTGACATTACGCTTAGCACTGTATTAATACTAATAACGTTTGACTTATGTATAGAAGTATAGTATCATATGAAAAAGTATTAAGTATAGTATAAGCTATAGTATTATTTACTTAGAGGTATAGTATAGGACGGTATATCTATAGTCTCCTTATTTCTTTCCAGAAATTTCTATTTTCAATTCCTATTGAATCGCGAGAGTGTGTTGGAATCGTTGGTCGATCGAATCAAGAAATTTTTGGAGTGCAAATGGCTGGTGTAATACTATTATAATACCGGTACTGCAGTAATACTGATACTGCTAAGAGAATTACACGAGTGTTATTTTAATGTTAATATTAGTATATTTTGTAACGATATTAATATTAGTATTGTATATAGAATATTAGGAAATGTATTAAAGCGTAGTATAATAATCTAGACGGTATTATATTCTCGAATCTATGCACAGGGGTACCCCAGACGAGCGAATTAGCCAGTGAATCATATCTAGTAAAATTGTTCCAGGAAACGAACCTCGTGGTGTGTCGTTGTACCAGCCTCCTCCATGACGGCCGATTGGAACAAGGAGACAACTGCTCTCTTGATGTTAAGAGACTCTTGCGAGTCACCTGGTTGGGTGCAGAGCTGCGTGTCGATGTGCCCATTGTGGTAATTGAATTGGACCGCGTACTGTTCAATGTCTGGCGTGGATGGAGCCTGAAACGCGTGTCTCTTCGTCAGTGAACCATCAAGCAAGTACATAATTTACGTCTCCATTGGCACAGCAAAGAAGAAAATGAAAATGGGGATCGACTTAACAAATTCATCGACATCGAGAAACGGAAGCAGAATCAAAGGTGAATAGTGTAAGTTAGGCTAGTGGAAATTAAGGGAATATTACCGCGCCATTAATTTCGACATTTTTCAGTCGCAGTTGCTGGACACAATCCGGTTTCACGGACAATTCCACGGTAGCTGACAGTTTAAGGGATGCTTCGCCTTGTGCATCGGTGACGGACGTCACCGACAACCCTTCCAGATTGTATACATACGTGTGCCCTTCCTGATACGCTTTGCTATGGTGCACTGGTCCAAAGAACGAGAGAAATTGTTATTAAGGAGCCGAAAAATTGAGTTTTCCAAGTAAGTAATCGAGCAAATTGAATAATTAAACCACTCACTTCCACGACAGCCGACTGTGCATGATCGACCTGCAACGAGAAAAATGAGGCTCACGTTAGGTCGACGATAGTTTTCAACGTTATAAATTTGTTAGAGTTCAAATCAATAGTAGTCTTTCTGTCGCAATTCCTAGTTGATAATTAAATTATAAGGCAGGTAACTGAATGCGAAAATTTTATCCAATTTACTGTCAACTATTTACTATTATATTATTACTGCCAACTAGGTTGATACCTATCGTCATATTTCCATTTCCATTGTCATTGTCATTGTCATAGAAACACTAATAGCCTCTAGCTTAGTGAACCCTCGAAGAAACTCGTAAAACGGGAACGAAATGTATTATCATCAGCAGCGCGATTGTTATAATTTACATATGCGATACATTCACGAACTCATTCTAATCATTTAAGAAGATCCATCTCATTTGACCCACCCTCCCGACGCTCAACCCCACAGACCGGCCACGTTCTCATCGTAGAAATCACTTTAATTGCCCTAACTTATCTCATCTGCGAAACGTCGTCGGCCAATTTTGGTAAACGACTCATAACATAACTCAATGGAGGCTCGGCCATTGTGCGAGCCGAGCCAGTCCTCGGATCGTCCACTTGAATTCCGTCATTAAGGGGCCAATAGTTGGCCACATCGAGATTCGTTTCGTGGCATAAACGCGACCCAGGCATAATAATGTGTAACAGAATAATAACCAACGTCAATCACGCGTGCAATAACGTAACAACGACGCTAATCGCGTTCGTAATCGACGTTAATACCCTAACGAAGACAATGAGCAGCGGGTAATGGGGGGGACGGTGCGGATGAAAGGTAGGCCTTCTGCAACCATATTAATCCGTCTTTCGGGTTTAATCGGCAGCTGGCCGGTCGCCAGACTCCCTCGGGTCCCGTTCCGCTCTTCTCAGCCCCGGGCACGCAAAGAAACTTTCGTTGCTGAAGGATTCCGGCACGTGACGCGAAATCCAGACCGGTCTGGAGCCTGGACCCTGGACCCTGATAAATTGGCCGGCCAGCACCGAGAAAAAACGTCGAAAAACCCTCCACATCCGACCTCGAGATCCGGAGGCGGTCACGCGCTGCGGATTCCGACCCTGTTCGACAGTTCTCCACCAACAACTCCGCTTATCCCCGATGTCCACGTGAAATTTCGCATTCGCTCCGGGTAGGTTGATAGTTCGGATGATAGATCGGGTGGCGCTGCTGAGCACATAAGTTTCCAAATTCTCGCTCGCGTAGGTCGTCATGGCCGACGTGTGCTTCTCGCACGTGCATCATCAGCGTTACTGCTTGCTCTTGGGCAGAGCAGGAAAAACTGAAACGTAAGACACGGATGGAAGACACTGTTGGCGTAATCAATTCTTCCAATGCTGCTCCAGTGCTGATACTTTGCTCTTTGGGAATAAGTTTGGCTGCTGAGGAAGCACGGATCTGGGTGGTTTGGGCAATTTAGATGACGATTTCGAACGTGTAATATATTCGTGTTTCCGTGGATTGTTTAACCCTTTGCACTCGAAGACATTTTTGCTATAAAGATATAACTGTTGGAATTTCTAGGATGAAATCAAAACATTTAGCATGCAGGAAAGTAACCGTATTCAGTTGTACAGCAATAGGTATATGAAGTTTAATGTAGGTGAAATGTATACACTTATGCGAATATAAGAAATAAGAGTTGCAATACTTTATGAGTTGCAATACTTTAAAAGCGATTTACACTGTTTAGGATTTGAGTCTGACTGCTGCAAGAGACAGCTGGCCCTTTTAACCCTTTGCACTTAAGAGGTGATCTTCAGTCACCATTTCATAAAATTTGGAAGATCGATATTAATTAATATATGAAATTTAGTGTGATGTAACACTGTGCGAGATATCGAAATCAAATAATTCTACAATTCTATTATTATACAATTCTTTATTTACTGCTCAAAAAGGTATCGTCAGTTGTTTGGTAGAGAATCTTTGATTTTCTATTCTTCTCTAGCCAAAAAATCGTCGAGTGCAAAGGGTTAAATCCAAAAGTCGACCCTTTGATGCCTGCATAGTATCGAAGGACCTCTAGCAGCCCTGTCATCATCGTTGCATGACCGTAGTTAATTTACAACAATAACAATTCGGAGCTTTCGTTATATTTTTCTGAACTCGGTGATGCTGATCCATTTATTCTAAAATAAGAAAAGTGATCCGTGGGTATTTTGTTTCAATATTCCATACGTAGTTACTTCTAATTTAGTAATATTTCGATATACCAATTTTGAGATACGTGGGAGACACGTGCATCCGTGTATCGAAATTTACTTTGTCAATCCCTTGCAATGAGATTTAATTACGAGAAATTGTGTATTGGAGACGAGTTTAATTTCAATAAACAATCGTTATATATTTATTTCGTTCGGAACAGAATCACGTAAACTTTTATAGGTTATACGAATTCTCGAAATTTTTTAAATTTATATATATTTTATTAATTTTGTAATTCAGATTAGTCTGCGATAAATAATTGTTCAGGTAAAATAGGAATAATATAAATATATTTTTAATTCCTAACATAGTTTCGCGTAACAAATTCCATCTACGAAATTAAATGATATTCTGTCGAATATTTGAACGATAAAAATATAAATTCGCCATTTTGTTGCGATTTATTTCAATCTTGCGACGAATGCATCCACGCTATTTTTATTTGAAACATGCTCGTCCTTTTGGAACATTTTCAAAATTAAATAGAAACATCCAAGAGGTCGAATGGAAACGTAATTCCTTTGGAAAAAAAGTCTGTGACGAAAAATTGAAACAGGGAATCCTTCGTTCCGATGAGACTCGTTAAAGCGCAGCGATGCGGGAGGAAGATATGTAGGTGGTTAGCCGATGGAAGAAAGTACGCACAGCGAATATTTATGAAAAGTTCCGTGTTTAAGAAGCTTCTATCACCGAGCCACTTTATCCCGTTTTCATCCGCCATGTAGATTTCCAGCGGATAACAACGTAGAAAGTAGATAACGTCGTGGAAAATGCACGCATAGAAGGCTTGCGGGGGTTTCATTTGCTGAAGAACTTTTAATAACAACCTTATCGACCAGCCTTTACCATCTCCTGCTTCTTTTATTCGAACAGCTTCCTTCTTCTTAATTTTCCATTTTGTAATATCTTCCATGCTTTTGACATTTCGATCGTTAATTACGTAACCTCTGCTCTCGTCCATCTTTCGATCGTGATCTTTGATCTTTCGATCAATCTTTTGTCCACTACTTTGATTTCTTTCTTCACCTAGATATATAATCTTAAATTTCTATGATAAATTTCTATGGTATTTTTATGGTTCACCTTGCTATGTAAAAATCGTTTACGTTTCTCTTTCACTTCTCTCGTCCATCTTTCGATCGTGATCTTTGATCTTTCGATCAATCTTTTGTCCACTACTTTGATTTCTTTCTTCACCTAGATATATAATCTTAAATTTCTATGATAAATTTCTATGGTATTTTTATGGTTCACCTTGCTATGTAAAAATCGTTTACGTTTCTCTTTCACTTCTCTCGTCCATCTTTCGATCGTGATCTTTGATCTTTCGATCAATCTTTTGTCCACTACTTTGATTTCTTTCTTCACCTAGATATATAATCTTAAATTTCTATGATAAATTTCTATGGTATTTTTATGGTTCACCTTGCTATGTAAAAATCGTTTACGTTTCTCTTTCACTTCTCTCGTCCATCTTTCGATCGTGATCTTTGATCTTTCGATCAATCTTTTGTCCACTGCTTAGATTTCTTTCTTCGCCTAAATATACAATCTTAAATCTCTATGGTAAATTTCTATGATATTTCTATGGTTCATCTTGCTATGTAAAAATTGTTTACGTTTCTCTTTCACTTCTCTCGTCCATCTTTTGATCTTTCGATCAATCTTTTGTGCACTGCTTAGGTTTCTTTCTTCACATAAATATACAATCTTAAATTTCTATGGTAAATTTCTATAATATTTCTATGGTTCATCCTGCTATCTAAAAATCGTTTACGTTTCTCTTTCACTCCTTTAAACGTAAAAATTTGGATTTCAATTTGGAATATTTATTTCAATACTTATTCGAAGCTTCCGAATAAAATATAAAATTTCGTAACGACACTTGTAATTTAAATACAATAAGATCGAAAATTTCATTGAAACATTAGCCTTGCTGTTCTGTAAAAATATTATTACCAGTATCCATCTTAGACATACATATGATATAGGACTGCCTATAAACGTTGCACATGCAGATTCTAGAGTGTGAATAGGTATAAAAAGAATGGCATTTCGTGTACCTGGAAATGTCATAACTCTTTGACACGCTATAATAAGTAAAAGCGTGAATTGGATGGCTGGTGTTTTATTTAAAATCCACTTTTCCCGATCTTCGTCGGTAAAGATTAATCGGAATTAAACGTAATATCGTGGATCTATCTAATTTCAGTAGTATGCATTCTTATTGCCATAAATTCGTAACTAAACGCGATACTCACTCTCACCTATACCACTTCAATATCCGAGTCAATCCGAAACACATACTCGAATATACACTTAGCATTTCATATATATATATCAAAAATAAATGTGCCTGTAATTATGAAAGTGGTCTAAGTCACTTACATTTGCTTCTGAAATATTAAAAGCTTCGGCCTTTAAATACGTCATAAATTATAAAATTAATGGCGATAAAACTACAAACTCGATCTAACGATTCAATTCTTCACTGTTTTGTAGAAAATAAATATATTTTATCGTAATATAAATGAATGCAACACGAAATAAATAATAAAATCGTTCCTCTTAAGTCGGTGACTTAGACCACTTTCATAATTATAGGCACAAATATGCACGTAAAATCGCTATCTCAATACTAAATATCAGTCCTCCAAGATCAGCGAGTCGTATATTTGCAGCAATCGCAAGAACAAGTGCAGAACCAATCATTTCGACCGATTCGATGTTTCCATCGTCCATTGCCATTATCTGCGTTACTATATTTAGGTGC